ACACCTCTGATTAGCGGTCGAATGCATTTATGATTACCAGAGCATAGGATTTCCTGTGGTGCCGGAAAATATTATTCATGAAACACATAAAATGCAATAACGCAAAGCATGGTATCGAAGTGGGAGGCACTGTGTATTCAACAGACATCATTCAACAACATCCATGCGGATGCGAGGTAGGTCTGAACACTACGGAGCACGTACTCCAGTGACCACAAAAGTCGTCTAGCCAAAGTACGATCACAGCACAGAATATACGCCACGAACACTAGAAACTTTCTCTCAGCTATGGAAGAGAGAACACAGGCGGCAAGCAGTGAACGTCTATAGTTGACACACAAAAGTACGTCGGATATACAGTGTCAACTCATCTTATATACTGTTACCGTCTCTGAAAATGGAGATCTTGGGAATTGATACGAAAAACAAGGAAATGACAGAGCCGACGGATCAGCTGCAAAAACCTTGGGGTGGACGGAGAGGGTCAAAGTAACTCTAAAAATGATAGCCATTGACTCAATTTAGGGTCATTAATCGGAGGCGGAGAGTAATGGAAGTGTAGGCGTGAAAACTGCATCAAGATATATTGAATGAAAGAAAGTAAAATGGAAAAGAAAGAAATAGTCGTTTGATATCCGCTCACCAACCTCTTCCACACATGAGAAATAATGGCATGACAGCACTTGGAAACACGAAGAAATTTCTTTTGCTTCAGGCATTAACATATGTTGTTCGATTATTCAGTAAACTCCCAAATAACCCCGGTTGGTGTTGTATGAATGTGTGTGTGTGTCTGTAAACTGTTCGGTTAACAACAGGCCATAGCGTCATCAAAATGGATAGGAAAAATAGAGAGATAAAGGTGTGAACTACTTTCGGTAAGAAAAATAGTTGACTTTTATGAATAAAACAGGCATGAAAGTATGAACAAAAGATGGATAAATGACAGAGGTAGAAGAAGAACAAAGGGAAATTTAGAGGGAAATCGAGGCCATGGTAACAGCAATAGCGGTTTCATAAAGCTCACCAATATGGACTCTGCAGTTTTCACAATCTTCTTGTGTTATCCTTTAGTGCGGTTCTTCGGTGCTGTGAAAAAATCTTTGATACACTATCTCTGGGTCACTTCTGTCGACCAGAGTTTGGAGGATTGAGCCGATCCAGTTTCTCATTATTCCTTTTCGAAAAGCGGCTGGGAAGTGCTTCTACATTCACTTAAACAAGCAAAAGGAGAATATAGAGAAATCATATAAACTATGATTGCAAGTAGTGCGGCTTAGGAAGAGAAAGATAATTAAATGTTAGAAAGATCCGTATCCATCAGTTGGTATGACGATACCTGAGATTCGTACCCCGTATATCCCAACTGAACACTTGAAAATCATCAAGTTATTGTTTAACTGATTGTGTATCACATTTAGCATGTTACGCAACTTGATTTATTGAGAAAAGATTTTCCTATACTTTTGAAGTAATCAACCTCGCAGTGAATATGTTCTATTGGGGTATTAGGGTGCGATCAGATGCGAGAATAGATTTAACTCACTCTCTTTCCTGTTAAACTTGACCCAGTTAACCCGGTGCATTCATGGCAAAGACCGGATTGCGCAAATGCACTTTGGGCATCCCGAGTCTGAATCGATTGCACAAATCATGCGCATACGACTAAGTCTATGTGTGTGTGTTAGAAAATACGATAGAGCTAGCGCGCACAAAGCATTCATCATTTTCAATCTGATGTTCCACACTCGGGATCTCTTCGGAGCTGCCTCGACATTGCTCCTGCTCATTATCCTGCTCCTGCTTGACAAGGGGTTGTGTCTAATCCCGGAGCAATGTGCTCACAATGTGACCAAACCGTTCTCTGTGTGTTGTCCTGTTAGTCCCCACAATCATCTGGTTTGCGGTGGACCGAAACGTGGATACTGTGAGAAGATCGCGGTCCCCAAGGACTATGTTCCGCATGTCTTTCATATGGACGATCGTCTCAGTTGGCCGTTGCGATTTTTCAGCCACGCCTGTCAGTGTAAGGGTAACTTTTTTGGTACAGCTTGCGAGAAATGCTGGTACGGTTGGACTGGTCCGAATTGTGATAAGCGCGTGAAGCGGATCCGGCGTGATATCCATTCCCTTTCGGATCATGAACTTTATGTGCTGAAAGATGTTCTCTACCGTAGTCAGACGTGGCCTTCCGGCTACGTGGTCTTGGACGAGTCGGACAACTATCATTCGGATCCGCTTTACAAGCCCCGTTTCATTCCTGCTAGCGTGCAATACTTTATCACATTTAATCACCGATACGGCAGTCGAGCTACTCTGTACAAGAACAAACAAGATTGTGAAATGTACGGGATTTTGAACTACAATCACGATGGTGTCGTATTTCCCACCTGGCATCGATATTTGCAGTTAATCTGGGAAGGATTGTTGGCTGAGATTGCGTGGAAGGTTCACCGAGTGGAAAATTTCGCTGCACCTTATTGGGACATGATTGGATTACTCAATTGTGATATTTGCACAAATACGTACTTTGGTGCTCCCGGACGCGAGGATAAGGATGGTTTACATATTTCCCGACGGTCAATCTTTTCCAACTTTACGGAATTCTGTGCCGAACCGAGAGGAGATGCCAAATGTTACGGTTGTCAACGTTCGGGACGCAAAACGACTATCACACGAAAGTTCACAACCCTCAAGTTTCCAGATCAACGCGATTTGGACTACGTTTTGAGCCTGAAAAAGTAAGCCCGATTTCGAAATGTATAGATAGGAAAAGTAGATCGGTTCATTTTAGAAATAAGCTAAATCAAACCATGATTTTCCCATTAAGTAGAAACTTACATATCACTCAGTGAAACGGTATTTTAAAAGTAACTAAACGGCTTTTCTAGCTCACAGGAAACCGGTTCCAGTCTGGTACACATGAGCTCTTTCGATCATCAGAGCGCGTACGCAACTCCATCCGGTTTGTATTTGGTATCAAACCGCTGTCTAGTGCTTGCCTCGGTTCATCTATGTCAGGAAATGCACCCACTTTATCGAGGGATGATAGAGTAATGGAATTATTTGATCCATAAGAAGGAGGGCTGAAAGGAAAGTCAACCGAACAAAGAAACCGTGAAGTATGCAGTATGACTCGCTGTAAACTCATTCCAGGCTTTTCAAGTGTGGTATGCAACGTTGCAACCCATAATCATCTCCTGACAGAAGATTGAACCCGGAACCCTGTTTACAAGATGCAGACATACTGAACATTCGATCTTCGAGGAGCTGATCAGATCGGCCAATTCAGCCGATACTCAATAGTGCATAACTCACCTTTCCGGACTGAACATAGAAAGTAGTTGTAGGCGAGCCAAATGCAACACGCGACAATTGTAATCCGGAAAGATCTATCGGGATTTCTTTCTGACTTCGGTTTCGTGTAGGATATAAAATAGCAATAAAGGGCTTGTTTTTAACATTATATATAACTTCATTAGCCAGTTCCTTAGATGGTGTTGGTGTTAGCACGTTACGCAACCAGCTAGCGAAGTAGCTAGTGAACATATTGAAGCCCATTGCCAAAGACTTTTGTGTTCCAGTTGGTCGAACTTTATGTATCATAAAATAAATAGTGAAAGAAATCCGTACGGAAAAAGAAAAAATCTGAGACCAATAAGAAATACATGCCAATGTATTTGGGTTTGTCTGTTTACAAAAAAATATTCTGCGAAAATCTAACTGAAGCTTTATCCATATTCCTCCAGTTCACGCGCGTCTGAATTCAAACTGTGTCATAAAAATCACGTTACATTAGTCTTTATGACAGAAAATAGATCGGTGATTTGCTCGTGGGTGGATTATTGCCAAGTAGAACAGACTAAAACACGGGAATTTTCTCGGAGGATTCTTATTTAGTCAAAGCCTGATCGGCAAGACAACGTGGTGGTGTGCGAAGACCGCAAATCATTGGGGCCAGTGTCTCGTTCATCAGAATATGCGAACGTTGGACAGGACCAAACGTCTAAGGTTCCTAATACACCTCGATGGTCCATCGAGCCGGAGACCACTGACACAAATAGGAAGTTGTGAGTGGTTTGCTAGGTTCTTCTTGTTTGGTTTGAAATCAGGGTTTTCAACCAACAGGTCTAAGTGAAGTTTCAGGGGTTCTTCGACCCGACTGAGGTCGCACGTATTGATTTTTTGTCATCAAACTTTGGTTGGTTCGTTGTATATGAGCATTTCGCCGCCTACAAGGGAAGAATGACTACTCACAACACTTTCGGGTGGCAGTAGCTCTGGTGTGGTACTTAATCCGGTGAACGAATCAAAAAGGTAGTCGGAATTTTGGGTGCAGCCAAAATGGAACATTACCTCGGAAATTCGGCATGTTGGAACAAACCAAAATACATTCACTCTAAACTTTCTCCGTCATAATTGTAAACAGGCTGGAAAATTTATATCAACCTGTGAAATCACAGTCGTACCTTTTGTACCGTTCGTCAAATGACGAACGACTTCGGGTTGCAAATTTTTGCAGTAATCCTCTTGGATAAATCCCATGAAGCGATGCACCGTGGCTGTTTTTGAATGGTCAAACCAAGCAATGAATCTAATCTGGAATGGTCAAGGTCTAATGTCACCAAGCCGTAATCACCCCAGGTTGTTAACGGAATGGTTGTATTGATTTGTAAATTGTAAACACTATCCATAATAAATCGATCGAAGCAACTTAGATCGGTCAAATATTTCGCTCCCAAGACTAGCTGCACTCTTGTAGTTGTGGTTAGAGTTGTTTTTTGTGCACTAAAAACTATCTGGAATGAGAACCACTTTTTCAGTGATGGAAAGATGATCAAATTTTACTCCAACGGACATAGATCATCTGACAGCGGTGTTATTTGACTCGAGTTCTTCTTCTAGTATCAGCCAAGGAAACCACACAAGACGTGATTCTGTGGTAGGTAATTTGGTAAAACAAAAATGCAGGATCTGGTCATTAACATAATTTGTTTATGTGTTGTGAGTGTAAAAGCGTTTCTGGATGTGTCCTACATGTCCAACTGCTATTTTGTTTTCCATCCTATTCTCCGTGGTCGCTTGATCGATCGACTGATTCCCATCCCCCGCCAGCTATTTCGTTCCGGGAGAGCGGGAACGGGACGATTGTCAATCGTTTCACATGGCTCTCGAGGGCTATTGTGGTCGCCCGGGCGCGGATAAGACTTATATGTGGCTGCACAATAAGATTCATCGAATGATCGACGGGAGTATGTGTTGTGCCGGGACGTCCACAAACGACCCGCTGTTTCTTGTGTTGCATAATTTTGTGGATAAAATATACACAGTGAGTTGATAATGCTTGCTCGCACTCGCATGCATGTTTGCGTTCAGACTTTTATTTGTCCTTATTCAACTTTGATCACATCCAGACAAACTCAGAGTAAAGGAAGATAACTTATAGTCCGTTTGTAGGATGTCAGTACAAGACCCAAAATGGAAAACTATAGATTATAAAGCAGTTAGGCTCACTCGTATCACTGGTGTGCTTCCTGTGAGTTTGATTCAACAGATTTGCAATCAACCCAGTGAACTTTATCGCGAAGGAAAATTACACTGGCTCTCAGATACTCTCCTCTTTACGTGTAATTGAATTGCGTTGAATTCAACATCGAATTTCTTAATCCGCTTTACGGGAATGATAGCGACCTATATTGGTTTATTTTGGCTTATTCACGAGGTGAGTGAGACAGAATTACGACTTTTGTGAAAGCTGAAATGTCTCCACCATTTTTCGATCAATTTGATCAACTTATTAGTGTACCAAAATAACATTTGAAATGGTAGTAACCGCTACTCTGGGGTTATTTAAGTTCTATCTGTTCCAAATGATGCGAAACACCAAGGACTGGGGATGCCCAGTCCGTAAAACAATCATCGATAAAGTGGGGACAGACTGGTCACAACAAGGGATAGCAGTTGACTAGCTGGTCAGAGTGATTCAGCAAGTCCGGTTATCTCGGTAGCGATTGCAGCTGAAAATTCTTTGCAATTTTTGCGTAGTTGGCCACGAACAGGATGGAGTGAGCGGTTAATTGGCCCAGGTTGGTGAATGTGCTTCCTTGGAAAATTCGTTCACACCGAATTCAGATTAGCAGGCCTCGCTGGTCATGACACCTATTGAACATGTCTGGCAACCTTTTGCCTTAATTGCAGTTACTGCCCCCAGGTTGTAGAAAATCATGTGGAGGTCAACAAATGGCATGGAGACGAGTCATAAAGGAGAGAGTACCTAAAATATGTATCTCCCATCTTCCAGGTTAGGATTCGAAAAATTGTAGCTGGTTGATTAGAAACAGTACGCTGAACCGACAACATCGACATACTCATTGTCCTCTTTTATGGAGTCAGAACACTTCAACTGCAAAGCCAGACAGCGTGTGTTATTTGCTTTATAACCCTTTTCCTTCTAACAACAAATGGTATATCTAATGTCTACTTCGAAATCACTGCACCAAGTTGGTGAAAGAAAACATTTGATGTACCAATAAATGCTTATGTGTAAGTTTATACCCAGTCCAAATCTGTTGTAAAACACATAAATGCCTCCAGAAAAGTCACTTCTGGCGTTCCAACGCTAGGATTGGCTAGACACGTCTCAATCACAGCAAAGAAGACAACTAGGGTGCTAAAAGGTTGGTAAGCCCAAGTCTTCACTGCACCTGTGAGCACCGGACTACGACTGCCTCTCTTACTTGAGGATATACCACATCTAACCCTAACAATAATTGATTCCCCCCCCCCACCCCGAAAGCATAGCATCGACACTGCAGTGTTTGAAAGTATATCATCTTCGGGGATAGATAATACCTATCCACAAACCCTTATCAACCTGGCAATTAACTTAGCTCAACAATTAAGCAAACTATTCCAACAAATGTTCAACAAAACTGTGCTTCCACAAACATGAAAACAAGGGATAATTTCTCCAATATACAAGAGTGGTTGTCGTAGTGACCCAGCTACTTACCGTCCCGTTACTCTCCTCCCCGTATTATCCAAATTCATGGATTCCATTGTTGCAGACAATGTGATGAGTCACTTGGAAAAATGCGACGTTTTCTCCTCGGTGCAACATGGGTTTCGTTGCAGACGATCGTGTACCACTAACCTGCTTCTGCTCCGAAAGGAGTGGACAAAAGCAGTTGATTCCGGTGATGCAGTGGACGTAGTGTCCCTGGATGTCTCCAAGAATTCGACATAGTGAAGTACAGAATACTGCTGAGGAAACTACACCATTATGGAATTCGGGGATTTGTACTGAGTTGGATAGAAAAATTTCTTCGACAGCGCACCATAACAGTTCGAGTTTTGGGTCTCTTTCGGATCCTATCAGTATAGCACGAGGAATCCCACAGGGATCCATGCTTGGCCCTCAACTTTTTGAAGTTTTCAAAAACTATCTAACGGACATTCTGGGGCTACAAAAGTTAATGTTTTCAGACGATGCAAAAATATGAAAAATAGTGACAAAACCTGAGGGCTTATTGGCACTTCAGAGAACTTTTAATGCTGCTTATCAATGGTCGATCGAAAACGACACCGAATTCAATGCATCAGAATGTACGGTCATATCCCCTCGCCACAAAACTCAGTTTCCGTACTTCCTGGGATATCAACAACTTCCGTTCGTCTCGAATGAGAAGGATCTCGGCGTCATTGTTCAAGACGACCTAATCCGTTCTTTAAACTGCTCCCGGGCG